GCTGGTACTGCTTGCAGCTACAGTTCTTTCTTTTTAATCCTGCTGTGGCATAAATACTTTTGTCCAGGATGCCTATGTTTATGATAGATTTGTGTGTATTCCAACAAATTCAGGTAATAAATGGTTTTAACCATTGGTAATTATATTATCCCAAAACTCAAGTGTGTGCTCTGTCTTTTGAACTAACAGTATTTTTGTGAGTCTCTCTGAAGAAATACTTGAAAATGTTTGTAAAACTTTATAAGACCCAAGGAAGCATATTTTAAAGGAAAAACCATTTCTTTTTCTACTTAAGAACATATTAAATATCCTTAGAAAATTCAGCAAAGACGTCAAGCATAAAGAAGCACTGTCTGGGATCCAGCTGCCCGAAGATGGTTATTTTCATTTTTTTAATTGTTGCTGAGTATATTTTCACCATTATACTTCACATGCATAAATTTACACCATGCTCCTGAATACAGTAATCACACTTTTTCAATTCTGAATGCGTTTCCATATTTGGAGCAGTATTGCAAATGACACCTGAATATTTTGTATTTATCTGCACACTAGTGTTTCTGTAGAACAGTGCTGGAAGTGGAATTGGGGAGCTATTTTAGCCAGAAGCAGTGTAATCTGTGAGCTTCATGTTTGCTGGATAAAAATAACATGCTTTTCTTTAGATCAGAATTTCTCTTAAGAAATCTGGTGTTCAGTTTCTTTTTCTTTTCTTTTCTTCTTAGTGACACAGATTCCATGTAAGTACAGATAATTTCTCAGATAGACTTAATCTGGAGATGCATACCCTTTGTAGTTCTGCTTGCTGAGGGCAGCCTTTTCTAACTCCTCATGTTCAAACATCATTAGAGATAGGTGCTTACTCTGTTTTTAGACAGCTATTGGTTGCTGGAAAGATTTATTCTCATATCGGACTGAAATCTGTTGCAATTATTTCTGCGTCATCACTGCAGACAGTGAAGTGTGCCTCGTTCCCAGATGATCGTCCCCCACTATCCTGACTTATTGTTAATCAACTTGACAAGCTAGAGTTATCTGGGAAGATTAACCTGAACTGAGGAAATGCTTCCATCAGATTGCCTATAGACAAAGTGTGTAGACATTTATTGGTGATATGGGAGGGCCCAGCCTACTGTGGGTATTGCCACCAGGGCTTCAGTTTCTCCCTCCAGATTCCTGCCTTGAGATCCTGCCCCAACTTCTTTCAATGATGAGCTGTGATGTGGAAGTGTAACTAAATAAACCCTTTCATTCCCAAGCTGCTTTTAGTCATGGTGTTTGATTGCAGCAATAGAAACCTTAACTAAGACACCCACTATCTGAGAATAGCTATCAAATATTGATATTCTCTACTTTGTAAGCCAGAGAGTTCACCCATCTAGCTATGTCTATATCATATTATAATTTTCCTTCACTTCCTTAGCCTGAATTTCATTGCTCATATAGTTTGTTGGTGCCAAGTTTCACTTTTATAAGCAGACATTTATATGTTGACTATTGAATTTAGATGCTCTCTCCTCAGTCCCTGTTTGGTACATTGGGATTTGGATGTGAAAGCACAGCTCTGCATTTCTCTTCATTAATGTAATCTGCCTTGAGTTAGCACATTGTTCTAGCTGTGGGTACCTTAGGTCTGTAGGTCGGCAGATCTCTGTTCCTGCTCTTCCCAGGTTTGTGTAAACTGTGGGTCTGATTAGCACTTTCCCAGAGCTTTGTCAACTTTTCACTCATGACCCCTTTTTACCTGAGAAAATTTTATGTGACCTTAGCTGTGTAGCTATATAAAATAGGTTTATAATCAAACATTTGGAAAATCTTAAGTTTATTTAAATTTTTAAAATTTATTTTCATTTTATATGTATGGATGTTTTGCCTGCATGTATGTCTGTGCACCACATGTGAGTAGTACCTGTGGAGGCAGAAGAGGGTATCAGATCCCCTAGAACTGGAGTTACAGATGGGTGCTGGGGATTGAACTCAGGTCCTCTGGAAGAGCAGCTAGTTCTCTTAACCACTGAGCCATCTCTCTAGCCCCATAAACATATCTTAAGATGATTCTTTGGTGTATAGATAACCTTAATCATTTATTAAAGATAAAAGCAAATTTTCATACTAATGAGATGAATGTGCTTATTTTATTTTTTACATAGAGATTTAAATCTTGGCCACATATTTAACCTGCAGGCACAGCATTTTCAGTATTTTTTTAAAATTTATTTATTTATTTATTTATTTTTGAGACAGGGTTTCTCTGTAATTTTGGTGCCTGTCCTGGATCTCATTCTGTAGACCAGGCTGGCCTCAAACTCACAGAGATCCGCCTGGCTCTGCCTCCCGAGTGCTGGATTAAAGGCATGCGCCACCACCGCCCGTTGCATTTTCAGTATTTTTAAGAGTTCAATTTTATAACCAGTGCTGAGAGTGTCACTTTGCATTAGTACACAGTGCAAATGTCAAGGCTGTTTTTTAGGGCCATTTCAAAAACTACTGGAAAGTCTGTCATGGACTCAAGCCAAAAATCACCTGAATTTATTTATTTTAAGAAATTGGTCAGCAACTCAAACAGCAGTTTCAAAAATCAACAATTCTAACAGCGCACGCACTCCACGGATAGAATAGTCTGGTACCTATGTGCTGTGGAGTGATGCCAAGAAAATACTTACAAAGTTGTTCTTTTTCCATAATTAAAAACTACTTTGTGTAGGAGCAGTGAGTGCAAGTGTGCACTTGGGTTAGAACCAGGGCTTAGTGAAATCACGTGACTTCACTGCAGGAAACACCCCAGACTTGTATGCATCAGATTTTGGATTAAGTTTTCATGGTTGTATGTTCAGAACCTGTGCTGTTGACAGATTTTTCATAATCTTGACATTCATTTATGGATCACAGCCCCATAAGCTTAGAAGCTGGGTTCTAGCCTTTCTGTTGAGTAAGTAACTTGTCTGGGGACTAATCACCATTGTGTGCAGTAGTGCTGAAGTCCATCCCTTTCCTAAGGATCACTCTCTCCTTATGAAAATTGAGCAGACTCTGCTTTCATTTTCTAGCACCACTTTACCCTGTGGTTATGAAAGCAGACTGCTAGGGCTGGACTCAGCAGTTAAGAGACTGGCTGCACCTCCAGAGGACTTGAGTTTGACTACCCCCATGGCAGCTCACAGCTGTCTGTAACTCCGGTCCCAGGGGATCCAACATCCTCTTCTGGCCACTGAGGGCACCAGGCATGCATGCACATGGTACACAGAAACAAATAGAGGCCGAATACCCATACACACAAAATAAAACTTGGGGGAAAAAAAAAGGAAACCATGCAAACCGACTTTGGGCTAGAGAGATGACTCAGCAGGCCTTCATTTCAAATCCCAGCACATAACCTTCCCTCTCCCCTAAATTTCAGCATTTGGCAGATAGAGGCAGGAGGATCAGGAGTTCAAGGTCATCCTCCACTTCATAGCAAGTTCTAGACTATGTGAGACCCTGTGTCAGGAGAAAACAAGAAGAAAAGGAAAACATATTTCTCTCTTCCTTATCATGTTGTAGATTATTGTATATGAGTTTTTCTGTCTCTTCTTTTTTAAAAACCGTATTAGGAATTGAAAGCTGTGTGATCTTTGAACACAGTGCTCATGTAAGTCTGGAGAAAGACTCCGTTGGAAAAGTGTGCAAGCAGGAGGACCTGAGTCGGGATGCCCAGCACCTGAGTCTAAAGAAGGGCGTGGCGGAGCATTACTGTTCACGTCAGCGCTCAGGCTGGAGTAAGGAGACAGTCAGGAGAGCAGATGCTGACTGTCCAGCCTGTGCGCCGTCACTGGGAGACCTGCTGTAAAGGGAGATACCTGACCCTCACACGCACATGTGTATACACACTAGGCCTACAGCCCCTCCAAACCCATTTTAATGGTTGACTAACCCTGTATTTGTCACCCATAGTTGATCATTACTCCATCAGCCTTTTACGTCATCACTTTCCCTCATAAATTCTGAGGAGTTTCTTTATATCAAAAGCTTTTTCAGAATTTGATATTACTTTGTAAGGATTAGTTCTGGATCTAAATTCTCAAGTCCAAGACTGCATGTTTCAAAAACTGGGTTACTTTTATTGATAGATGATACCAAAATAACACAGAGGGTCCGGCCCTTCCCCTGTCTTTTGTGGTAATCCTTTTTAAAAAAAAAATTTTATATTTTTTATTTTTTTCCCCTTTGTGCTCTGAATTGGATCATTAAGTCCTTTTTCATTTTTCTTTTAACCCCCGCCCCAAGTTCAAGCCTACTTGAATTTTACATTCACAAACTCATGTTCTTCTTAGATTGTTCTTTGTAAGTGTTCTCTTGAAGAGTTATGTGTATTTAGGGACATTGGCAGCTTTGTGATGCTAATTTAGCGATGGTCATTTAGCTGTAGGGGAGGGGCATGGAGGAGGGGACCCTGCCTAGTTCTGTTTTCAACTTGTGCTATTTCTTCTCATAATAGTTTTTCAGATGCCTTTTTAACTGGAGCTCCAGGTTAGGGTCTCAGCATCTGTCACTTGGACTGTCAGCGGGCTCATACTTCAGCTCGTTCTTTTAGTTTCACAAATAATGACCCTCATACTAACATTTTACAAGCTAAAATATGGGATCTTTTTACCTGTTGCTTTTTAGCGCCCCCCCCATCCAGACATTAATCAACATAAACTTGTAGGAATTCCACAAGAACAGCTTTAATTTAAATCTGCTACTTATATATTAACTATTTTATCTTTTTAAAAAAAATGTTAAATGAATTTTGAACCTTGGTACTCTTAAAACAATGTACTGTATTAATTATTTAAGTATCACTGCCTGAGTTTCAAATGCCTATTTAAACATGTCTAGATAGAGGGGAAGACCAAGGCCCGCCACCGTAGTGCCTGTCTGTATTGTGTCCAGAGTGCTTACATTATACAGATGCTGCAGATGTGGAATACATGCACTTTGCTGTTTGTCTTTTACAATTGTGTCTGTTTTGTTTATTTAAGATCTGGACATTGGTAGTTGGCTATGTGCTGATGGTTTCATTCAAGTGGAATGCAAACACTGAACGCTACTTGAGAGCAGTTTCGATTCCTGTCTGGATGATACTGCTTTTTCATATAGGTGGGTCCTTTTTTTTTCTTCTTCTTCTTTGTAGAACAACCTCCCAATAACTGAAGGTTAAGGTCAGTAGAGGTTGACCAATGAAAGTGAGTTCTTAGTGTTCTGTGTTACATTTAAAATTCTTCAGCATAATCTACAGAAAATGTTGAGCTTTGAGCTTTCACTAATCTTCAGTGAAGATGCTCTGCTTCCAAATGTTGATCTCTAAGTTCCTTACACATTCTTTTAGTAAGTCCTTGAAGATAAGTGCGCCTCAGACTGCAGCTGTGGTGACCCTCTCGCTCATTTTGCTTGCGGCTAACTTGGGGAGGCGATAGATAAGCACCCAAGGATGATAAGAGGGCTTGGGTCTTGTTGAAGGACTGGAGAAGATTTTTATTCTGGCGAAGAGGAAGAGCCTGTGTCAGGAATTGGGGAGGAGGTTGAGCAGGAAGAGTGCATGAAGTAGGAAAAGTGCTTCCTAAGAGCTGAAGGACTGTCCATCCCGTGAAAGAGTGGTCATGAGGAGAGATGCCAGAACTTCCGGAAGCCTCAGAAAGACAGCTCACTGCTCCGCAGAGATGTTCCACGGCAGGGCTGCTCAGTCATGAGTTTCCTGCTCTGTGAAGCAGCTCACTGTTAGCTGGGGAGCTGATAGTGCTGCTGCTGCTGCTGCTGCTGCTGCTGCTGCTGCTCTTGAATGGCTTTTCAGCATGACTCACATGATTGGGCAAGACATGTTTCTGAGTCTGAGTTGATGGGAATAATAAGTTGTAATTTAAAAACAAAATAATGGAGCGACCTGGAGCAGCAGATAGCCTCAAGTAGCTTTTAAAATTAACCTTTTTTGTAAGTTTGCCCCTTCCACCCAAGAAAGCAACAGCTAAGCCCAGCTGACTGAAAACTGTCTGCTCAGGGTCTGATTTTAAGAGAGCAGTACTCTGTAGACTTGTGGAGTTGGAACCATGAGGTTTATCTGCAGGGTCCCCTCATGTGACTCAAAACTTGAGTTTGCAGAAGGCAGAGGAGGGAGTCTCATGTGAACTCAGGGAAGGCGGCTGCTTGGGGACTTAACTGTCTGCTGTGGGAGCTTTGGCTACAGCCTTTGGCTTTGTCGGGCCCTGTTTTGAGACTGAGTTCAAACCTAGTGCCATTTTCAGAAAATGAGGCTGGCTTCCTGACTTCAGGATCAATGCCTGACTGATTGTCCTAGTATTAGGTGCTGTGTAGGTTGAACTTGAGTTTGGGGTGACCTGAAACCTGTGAGGGGGGGGAGGGGGGGAGATGGGGGGGTGCCTGTAATGGACGGGGGATTGACCTCTTAAGAGTAGGTTGGCACATGCCTTGATCCTTTGAGAGCAAGAATGAAACTGTCCTTGAATTGGAGTTTACTTGCAAGAGTCTTTTAAAAACATTTTCCCATGTAAAATGATTTCTTAATTAGCATGTATATCTAATTGCTCTGTTAACTAAAAATGTTAATTCTTAATAATTTTCAGCATCACTGGCTGGCTCATGGAGAATTCCAGTATTCCTGGTTATTGTTTTCCTGATGTCTGTGGGCACCCTTTATGAAAAACAGAATGGGAAAGAGTCTGCTGGTAAGAAATAGTCTATTATGAATATATTCTTAGTATTTTGAGAGATAACTGTCTCTATTGCTATGATAAACACCATGACCAAAAGCATCTTGAGGAGGAAAGGGTTTATTTCATCTTATAGCTCTTAGGTCAAAGGTCACACTCCATCACAGAGAAGTCAGGATAGGAACTCAAGGCAGGAACTGATACAGAGACCATAGTGGACTGACTTGCTCTCCATGGCTTCTCAGCCTGCTTTCTCATATAGCACCGAGGACCACCTGCACAGGAATGGCACCACCCACAGAGAGCTGGGCCCTTCCACACCAATCGTCAGTCAGGAAAATGCACCACAGGCCAGTCTGATGGGGGAACATTGCTACATAAAAGGACATATTATGAAGTATCATATAATGCTCCAAATGTATGCATGCCATTTGAATTTAGGGTATTCACCTTAGAGCAGGATTCCTGGGTGATGGTAATCTATGTTTGTTTCAGGAACTACAAGACTACTTCCAGGGCAGCTCAGCAGTTTACATTCTTAGACCCTTGATGTTTCCTGATTGCTCTGGGTAGCAGCAGTCCAGAGGGTGTGAAGTGCTTCTTACTGTGGCTTTGGTTTGGGTGTTCTAATTACTGGTGGTGTGAGCATCTTTGCATGCATCTACTAGCCATTTGTTTATCTTTTTGGGGAGATGTCTGTTTATACTCTTGGTCCTTTTAAAAATTAAGTTGTCTTTTGTTGCTGAATTACTGAATTCTTTAAATATCTTGGATACTGAATAGATACACACTCTGTAAATATTTTATTCTATGGGCTGTCTGATTCTTTTGGTAGCTTCCTTTTATTTTAATTTAATTTTTTAAAACTTAATTTAAAAATTTTCTATTTTTAGATATATGTACTTGTGTGTGGGTTTGTACATGTGAGTGCAGCACTCAGAGAGGCCAGAAGAGGGCATCAGATCCCCCAGAGCTGGAGTTACAAGTGGTTATGAGTACCCTGAAGTAGGTGCAGGGAACTGAGCTTGGATCCTAGAAAGCGGTACATGTTCTTAATAGCAGAGCCATTTCTCCAGACACTTTATTTTTAAAGCCCAATCTTTGTATTTTTCTCTTGTGCTGTTGTCATATCTAGCAAATTCTGGCAGTATCCAAGGCCATAAGTCTTTACATCTTGTTTTCCTTTCAGAATTCTATATTTTTGTCTCTCACATTTAAGTCATTGATCAGTTTTCAGTTGCTTTTTGGATGTAGCACTAAGAGTCCATCCTCTCTCTTGCATGTTTGATACCTAGTTTCTCCCAGCACAAGATGCTGAAGTTTTTTCTTCCCTTGAGTGGTCTTGGTACCCTTGTGAAGAAGCAGTTGAACATGGATGTGTGGGTTTATGACCATACTTTTGTTCTCCCTTGGCGGTGGTGTTTGTCCTTATGTCATTGTTTGGATGAAGCAGGAGTGTGAATCCTCTAGCTTCCTCTTTTTCCAGACTGTTTCATTTAGTGGTTTCCGTCCCCTTCATTGCCATGTGAGTTTTAGGATCATTTTTTTCCCTATATTCACAATAGTCTGGTGGGATTTTGATTAGATGTTGAATTCATCAGTAAATTGGGGAACATTGCATTTCTCTCTCTCTTTTACGCATACACGCATGCATGCACGCACGCACGCACGCACGCACGCACGCACGCACGCACGCCCCAGTAATCAACCTCCAGTTGGTGAGTGTGGGATGCATCTCCATGTATTTATTCTTTAATTTCTTTTAGCCATAATGTTGTGTAGTTTTTAGTGTTTAAGTTTTACATCTTCTTGGTATGCAGTGTTTTCTGAGTTTGATTTTGTATGATTCATTCTTAGTATATATTTAGAAGTATAACTTGCTTTGTGTTATACTGATACTGTACCTTCATCTCTGCTGGACTTGTTTCTTGGCATCAGTTTAGCTAAGGCTTCTTTAGCACTTGCTATCTAATGCTGTCTTTTTTAAAGGTTGTGTGTGTGTGTGTGTGTGTGTGTGAGAGAGAGAGAGACAGAGAGAGAATATATATGCCACAGGTGTGCAGGTGCCGTGGAGGCTGGAAGGGCATGTCAGATTCCCTGGAGCTGAAGTTTCAGGCAGTTATGAGCTGTCTGACATGGGTGCTGGGAATCCAACTCTTGCCTTAGTGCTTTTGACCCCTGAGCCATGGTTTAGCTGGTGGTTTCTGTGCTACTTTAGACTTTTTTCTTTTTGGAACACAGGGTCTTGATGTATAGCTCAGGCTGGTCCTCCAGTATGCCACCACACTTGGCATCAGCTTTTAAAAACATACAGAAATTCCAGGGTCACCGTGACCATTCCCTTTTGTCACACATGTATTAGGCATATTCATACCAAGGATGTCTTTCTGTGTCAGTGAACACATTATTATTTTTAGCATTTACTGTAGACAGATCAGTGTGTGGCACTCCTGTACGGTGATCGTATGTTTTACGAAGTTTTTTTTAGATTGTTTCTATTATATTTGGTGAGTATATCTGATGACTGTAGATTTCTTTTTCTTGTTTGAGATGAGATTTCACTGTGTAGTCCTAGCTGTCTGGAACTTACTACATAGACCAAGGTGGCTTTAAAATCACTACAAAGAACCATAGTAACAAATCTCTCCGACAGTAGAAAATCAGGAAGATTTTATTTTCTGTTTTACTGTCTTTCAGTCTCCTTTTGTGGCCTGGGTACCCTTCCCCCTCTTCTGGGTTGGCTTCCCTTTGGTCTACTCTGCTAGAGGGTTAAGTTCAGTCAGCCTTATGTTCCTACAGGTTTCTTTCTGTGGATTCAACCATCTGAAAATCAAAAATATTTTGGGAAAAATAACATCTCTATTGAATATGTAAAGACTTTTTTCTTGACATTTTCACACTACAAGGCAATATTACCACAATTATGTGGCATTTGTACGTTAGGTATTCTGCATAATCTAGGGAAGATGTAAAGTGTATGTGAGGATGTGCATAGGTTATGTGCAAATAGTGTCATTTTATAAGGGGCTTGAACACCCACGGATTGGTATATATGGTCAGCAATTGTTCCCCTCTGGTGCAGAGGGCTTCCTGTATATGAGTAGTACAGGTCTCCACTAAAGGATTCCATGCTCTCCTCCCCTACCCAGGTATAAATTTTAGTCACCCAGTTAACAGCACTTAGAGTACTCTGAGAATAAGAACTCGTACCAGGTTTTGAGTGTATGTGGGAAAACTTTAAAGTAAGAAAAGCAAGGACTGGAAGGTGGTTCAGTGGTTAAGAGCATGTACTGCTTTTTCAGAGTTTGGGAGTTCAGTTCCCAGCATCCCCATTAGGTGGCTCACAACTGCCTATAACTCTGGCTCCATGGGACCCAGTATCTTCTGGCCTCTGTGGGAATCTGCATTCACATGCATATACCCACATACAGATACAGATACACACACACACACACACACACACACACACACACACACACACACACACACACACACACTTGAAAGAGTAAAAATAAAGGGCTGGAGAGATGTCTGTGCAGATAGAGCACTGGTTCTTCTTCCAGAGGACCTGAGTTCTATTCTCAGCACCCACATGGCAGCTCACAGCCATCTATAATTCTAGTTCCAGGGGATCTGACACCTCTTCTGGCCTCTGTGGGCACTGTATGCATGTGGTGCAAAGACATACATTCAGGCATGATACCCATGAACGTAAAATAAAAATAAAATGAATGAAAAATAGTAAAAATAAATCTTTTAAAAAGTAGAGAAAACAGGCTTCAGCTGTCTCTAATGTCAAATGCTTGGCCTAGAGCAGTAGTGCGGAACACCTCGCCACTGATCTGCCAGTTGACTGTTAGAAATACTTTTCACAGGGAGGCCCTGGTAGTTGCTTCAGGTGCTTGAGAGAGCACATGCTATGAATGAACACGCTTGATCAGTGAAGAAGCCCAGACAGAAAAGAGGAGAGGAACAAAGTCAGCTTCTCACTCCTCATCCCCTAATCTCCAGTTTAGTTCTGTCAGCTTGTAGGCTTAGAGGAACCTGTTTGTTGCTCATATCTAGGGTCCTGTGCCCTCGCTGCTGAGAGGGAGGTGTATTCCATGTTAGTGGGGGAAACGGAAGCCTTCGTACAGGTCACTACAGGCTAGCAGGCGTCCATGTAGGCAGTACCTTGTGCCAGCAGCAGGCATGTTTGGTTTCTCACTGCTGCTGCTCTGGGAGAACAGAGCACACCAAGAAGCAGCTCCTTAGATTTGTATCACTTTGTGTTTTCTTATCAACATCGAGAAATTAATCTGCTCTTCGTGGACTTCGTTGTATCAACAGATTTTAATCCGGTGTCGTGTTTGGTTCCTTTGTTTGAGACTCTGAGTTTCTGTCTTGTCACTGGCCTTCTTTAGACTTGTGTAGCTCTCCCCATACCGACCCTGACCCTGGGTAGACTGATACTTGAAACCTTGAGTACGCTTCCCCACCCCCACCCCAGTCCTTGAGCCCAAGGTTATGTACCCTTGTTGATGTGCCTATTTTTAGCTGGGTTTTAAATCTAGTACCATGACCTTACCTAGAAGCTTATTCCTGGCGTTCATCTGTGCAGACCTTGGGGTTTTGAAGTACAGAAACAGCACATAGATAGAGCTCACTAAAATGTGTGTCTCTTTGATAAGAGAAGTTAACAGGTCTCGGGTCCATAATTTTCAAGTACCTTTTGTTGGTTTTCTCTGCGTGGTACTCCTTTGAGACGTCTGAAGTGTGTCACTCGTGCGTGACCCAGAATGTTACCGCACAGTTTTCATTGAATATTTTCTGTGTATTTTACTGACACTAGCAAATTGAATAGTCTTTACCTGTAGTTTTGCTGGTTTTAGTTCTCAGATCTGTAAGTGTCTGTGGTGTGCAGCATGTTACTTAACTCTGAAAGATGATATAAATGTGTCTGTAGGGAGAATATGACTTAGGGCATAGCTGTACTAGTGTGGAAAGGGATGGAAGCTGCAGAGATGTTCTAGATAACTAGAGACTCTAGTGGCTTATGCTTGCAGTTTGTGCTGTCAACAACAGTACTTCATTGTTGATAACAGCCAAGGTATGCTCAATACCTCTTTATACCAGGGAGCATCCAGAGCCTTTTATATCTTTTCACTCGGTCACATACAAAATAGGATTCCATGTGGAGCTCATTTCGCCAGTGAGGAGACTGGGCTTGTTGGCAGGGATTCTCCCACCACTGCTACATAGTAAGATCTGGGGTTCAAGCCCAGGTGCTCCTGCTTTCTCACCTGCCTCCCCAGCCCTCGAATTATCCTTCCTCCACATACAGAAACTCTCTGGCCTTCTACTCTGATCTCCAGCTTCCTGTTACCTGTCCGCTCCTCTCATAGACCTGTGTTCTGGCCTCCTTGACTTCTTGAAGCCCTTCAAAGAGGACACTGCTTTTCTTTGTGGCTTTCTTTACCTTTTGTCTTGGAAAGTGTAGTTACTATTACTATTTAATCTCCAATCTCTCCTTCCCCAAGATAGACTTGTTCGGTTCCTTTACGTGGCTGCTGTTGTTGCTTCCCCTTCTTCCCCTTCTTCCCCTTCTTCCCCTTCTTCCCCTTCCCCTTCTTCCCCTTCCCCTTCTT